CTTGCCTTTACCTTTTCTCGCTGCTAGTTCTCTCTTAAGAACCCTGCACTCCCTCTTAAAGTGCCCATTCCCTTGACAATGGTAGCACACGACATCTTTCTTGGATTTAGACCGTCTCCTGGACTTGTTATTCCGATCACGTGGCCCTCTACTTTTACTTCTCCCTCTTCTATCTGACTTTTCTGTCACCAAAGCCTGCGACTCAAACTCAAAACTCTGCTCTTTTCTTCTGACTTCTTCATTCATCAAAGCCTCTTTAACCTGATCCAAAGTCAAGACACCATCCTGGGTTGAATTACTGATTGACACTACAAAAGTGACCCAACTATCTGGAAGAGAACTAAACAATAACAAAGCCTGCACCTCATCATCCAAATTTAAACCTACATTCAAAACTTGGTTCAACAAACCCTGAAACGAACTCAAGTACTCATTCATGCTAGCACCATCTTTGTACCTCAACCTGGTAATCTGTTTCAGCGCAGATGACTTATTGATGCCGCACTTCTTCCAATACATATTTTGGATTTTCTCCCAAAGTTCATCAGTTTTTGTTTCTCCCGAAAAGTGATGAAACACATTTTGATCAATCCACTGTCGAATATTACCAACAGTCTTCCTGTGCATATCAGCCCACTTTTTATCAGTCATATCACTTGGCATACCTTCATCCCCTAGAACAGGATCAAACAAATCTTTGCAATACAACAAGTCTTCCATTCTAGGTTTTCACATATGATAATTGGATGAAGTTAATTTAATCATCATACCAGCACCCGATGACTTTTTCATTTTATTGGTGTAACACCTCAACTACCGAACCGTAGCTCTGATGCCATTGTTGTGGCGAAAAGGGTATATTTACAACAAACCACGGAAACGAACCCCAAGGAAATCTCCTTTCCTACTACCAATAAAATAGGACAACTAAAGCAACTAATTCAAGAACTGATAAAGTAAAGTAGACACACAAATTTACGTGAAAATCCAAATCGGAAAAAACCACGGGACTGTAACAACAGTCAAATTTCCACTATCATAATAATGGGAAAGCAGTTTTCACCAACTGGTGGATACACATGAATTTACTCAAAGGTGGATTACAACAATATTCTTCCACACACCCCTAAATCACCAAGTAGGATTGGAAGGATCTAACCAAAAGAGAGCTAAACTGAAAACTAAACCGGAGGATTTGTAGATCTTGTTGAGAGGAACACACATGCAAACTTGCACCAATAACTGACTCTGTTTCGTCACCCGATCAAAGCCTTAAAGTGAAACACTTTCTTCTCGCAACACCAAAAAACCCCAGAACTAGCTTTTCTCTTCTCTTTTCTCTCACACAAAGGATTTGTGCGGCTGCCCTAATTTGTTCGTCTCTCACGGCTGGAAAAACAAGGCAACCCTTTGCCTTTTATAAAGCCAAAAAACCAAAAAATAAATCCCAATTGGTTTTGTTACTATTCGGCCTAACCGAAAGAAAAACCAATTTAGATTAGTTTTTATTACTTCTTATTGTTGTTAGCCCAAGTGAGGGGAGTCTGGGCCCAACAATTATTTATTTATTTTTTGGAACGGAGAGAATAGTATTAAGTGTAAAAGTTACTTGACGTCCAATAAACCTGCAATTGTAAAATGCGCAGTGATTGGCCACAACTCTCATTGTCGCACCTGTACCCTTCATTAAAAAGAAAAATGAACAACTCTCATCGTCGCATCTATACCCTTCATTAAAAAAGAAAAATGAAAGAGATACAGTAGTAGTTAAAAATGTAGAAAGGAAATACTCTTGATAGCTTAAATATAGGCACACATATGGTTCCACCTCAAAATCAATCGGTGATGAGGGGAGTAGCACATGGGGTATATATGTTGGATTCAAGTCTTTCCTTCCTTCCATGTGGGACAAGGGAACATGAAGCCATTTTCCTTCTTTCATTCATTTAACACGCCCCTCTCAAGCCCAATGGGCTTGGACGGATAATTTTATATTTTTTTCTGATTTTTTTTTTGTCTTGCGATCGGTTATTTTTCTGGATAAATCGTCGCTTGCCGGGCCAGTCAAAGTTTAAAGTCAAACTCCGGATTTCTTCCGTGCATTGGTCAAAGTTTCAAGACTCAATTTGGGTTAGTCCACCTCGTCCCACAAGTCCCACAGGTTCGCAGATTAAAATCCGCTATGATATCATCTTGAAAGCCCAAATATAGGCCTAAATGTAATTCCACCTTAAAACCAATTGATGATGAGAGGAATAGCACATGAAGTATATATATTGGGTTTAAGTATTTCCTTCCATCCATATGAGATAAAAGAATATGAGATCATTTTCTTTCTTTCATTCATTTAACAAATACAAAGCACAGACCATGGCTTAAGCTCGTCAAGAGGCATTAAGCTCAATTTTGGTTGCTCATCAAGAGTACTTATAGCCTTTTTTTAAAAACAAAATTTTACTGGCTGCGAAATTAATTTACCTAAGAAGTCCTTTCACATTGAAATGAATGAGTAGGTAACCAAAAATCCAATCTGTTGTTTCACAAGGGAAACTTTAAAAAGTGCTCAAACTTTAAAAATGAAGTAAATCATACGATGCGGAAAGTAAACTTTACAACCGATTGTCCTGTAGGCTTACAAGATCAAGAGGAATGGGGAGTGTGTAGACTTCTAGAACCATCGGCTGTGGTAATTCCATGGCTCAACCATGATATCATGAGTATAGCATACTCCCACAATGTAACCGTGTAATTAGGCTAATTGTCTCCCTTTTTGTACAAAAAAAAAATAAAAATCCAAACCAAAATTATCAATACGTACAAGATAAATATCTTGATGATGGATGGATCCCCTATGACGCTGTACCATCTGAGAGTAACGCTGTTGGGAGAATGGCCATAGAGAGTGATGAATCTTTTGGTGGAGGCCACGTGGATTGGCTCCTCGTATATGCCGGGGCCCACCCGAATCAAAGTCCGGCGGGTGTTCCCAAGCGGAACCTCATCAAATAGCTTCCTGAACCGTCCTGAAGGCGCCGCCGTCCCCGTGTTTTTCCACCTTCTAAACTCTTACTTCAGCGGCCTTGTTTGAATTCTGATCGGCCTCTTTTGCGCTCGTCTTTCCAGCATCCTGTGACACTCTACAGCCCATCCCTCCGACGACAAGAGTGCCTCTTCTTCAAAGGAAAAAAAAAATGAAGAAATTAAACTCACTCTTGCTCGTCAATTTTAGAAATCCAACCAGTTAATTAACACATTTATCATCAAGGTTAATTACATTTTGAAAGAAAATGAAACGGAAGCTAGATATTTGGATTTGTAATAAATTCTGTATTTATTCCATAATGATCCGACACTTTAATTACGGAGTATATTTGTCTGATCCTAACCGGCCGACTCACTTTACATAAAATGTGTAAAAATCTATCTAAAATTAATTTGAAAAACTTATGTACAAAAGTATTTACACTCAATCCTGCAAGGCCGTGTCTTCTGGACATGGTGCATTTTGCTCCTGAAAAAAAAAATGTTATATTTCAACATAGGCTACAAAATTTGTGGAGTGGATTTCTAGAATGAATGAGGGTCAAATCTTTTTTATTTTATTTTTTTGGTTCCATTGAAATTAGTCGATGATTGATTGTCGTGATGGTCCATTTTAGTTTAGAATTAGTTATCTCATGAATAAAGATTTCATATTTGTTTCTTCTCGTTGTTTTTGTTAACTATTACCGTATTAGTTTACCTAGGGTTTAGTAAATACAATGTAACTACTTGTATTTATCTTAGTTATTAGGGTTAGATTATTTTCCATACTTTACGGTGATCTAATACCGTCCAATTGTGTATAAGTTAAATTTTATACTGTAAATCAAATCAAGGAAATATCACCGTTCTACTAACTTTCTTCCGGTTCCAATCTCAATCCTTGTTATTAACCAAAACAAACTAAGGTGTTTTCCATTTTCTACTCGTGAACTTCTTGACCACTTTGCTTTAGAACAAAGAGTTAGATGTGCAAAATGTAAAGGTCCGCAGCAGCCATCTGGTGTTGGATCTTTCTAGATTTTTGCTGGAGTAATGATTCGAATTGACGGAAATGTTGGCTTCTGGCGGTGATGGCGTCGGTCGGAATGTGAAACTATTCTTCGATGATGGTTGTGTTATTTTGTTTTGGTGTTAATGAACATGACAAAAAATACTATAGACTAAAACTTGTCGATGATCATTTAAGATTTCTCTTTAATTTATTTATGCCTTAAAATTGTTTTCGTGGTAGAGAGAAGCATAGATTAAATCACCATATATATTATTGCAATTATACCCAGAAAAAAAAACACCACATTATTTGGGCGTAAAACAAGTAATTTATCACTGTTAAGAAATCATGTACTCCCTCCGTCCCATAATTATTGTCCAGTTTGAGTTTTTATTTTTAATTCAAATTGTACTAAAAGTGAAATCTCAAACTGAACAATAATTTTAGAACAAAGGAAGTAATCAAACTCTCAGAAGTAGTATCCAAATATGAAGGACCATTTATGGAGTTTACTCAAAAAAAAAAAAAAAAAACATAACAAAAAAAAAAAAAAAAAAACAAAACAGCACATCACAAGTCTCTTGTGATTAGTCCTTTTTGTTAGTAAACATATAATCTTGTAACTTCATTACGTGAAGTCTGTGCAGGGTAAAGTTTAATTACAATTGTTCATCCATCACATTTCCACTCCTTTTTTTTTTTCACTTTTACAATAAAATCTTTTTAATTACCTTTTGTGTCGGAAAAGAAAAGGTAAGGCAAGATGGATTATAGTACTTTTCTATTACTTATTTAAGCTCTTTTTTCTCAAGACTTTATAAAAACATTTTAATGAAAACTTTTATGCTATAGTAAAAATAGAAAGGGTTTGGTGAATATTGTAGGACTAAACCAATAAACATTATGCAATATATATATATATATATATATATATTTTTTTTTTTTTAAAAAAGAAAAAGATAATTAATCAATTAAATTCTGCCGACTGTAGGTAGTAGTAGTGAGAAAAGCCCACTGCTGAAGGGGTTTAAATCGTTCTTTGTTGAAGACTAGAAGTAATTCAAGCTTTCTATCATGGCGAACTTATTGTGCTTTCAGAACCATACAATCCCGTCGTTCTCTTCTCCGCTCAACACCGCCCATGATTCTCCCAGTTTTAATCTTTCCGGCATCAAATTTCCCTCCATAGCTGACAACGGACGCCGCCAATGCTTAAATGCCATCTCTTACAGTAAGAGTAAAATCGCTTCACTCACATATTCAATTTTCCCCCTTTTTGTCTTCCTGAATGTCTTTCCTTTTTAAAGGTCCTGCGAATTGTATATAATCTTTACCTAGAGGTTTATTCAGACTTTGTATTTGTATGCTTGTATCAGAATCTAGGAGTGGGATTGAAATCGATAATAAGGATAGAAAGCTTCTTGAAGAGTACGGTTTCGACCCAGATGAAATCTTATCAGAACCAACTCCAAAGGTCCGAATTCGTCATTGTTACTGTATAACCTTGTTTGTGACCTCTTTTTTAATCTTTTCTTTGAAACGCTGATTTATCTATGTATGCTTAATTCTCAAAATGGGGTTTTTGGTTGCGTAGTCCAAGGGGAGAAAAGGGTCGTCAAAAACCGGAGGAAAGGGAAGACAGGCCATTGTTGAGGAACCCAGGCCTCCACGGGAGACCCATAAATTACTTCAGGTATTGGAGCTTAGTCCTTCCTTAAATACGGCCTTCTTTTAATAGTTGTTTTCTATACAACTATGTTTCTGATTTAATGATTTGTTATATTTTAATTGAATAATTCCATGTTTGATGTAATTGGTTTAAGCTCCGTGTCAGTTTTGGTACTTCTGCATATTGAAAATGTTAACCAATGATTTACAGTTGGCAATCGTTGTAGGCACTATTTATTTTGGTTCGCTGTGTTCATGTCTATAAAACAAGTCCGCTGATTTCGTTGCTGTCAGAAATTTCTCATGAAAGGTTTTATTGGTAATTAGGTGCTTGCATTTTGCTGTCAGAAATTTCTCATGAAAGCTTTTATTGGTAGTTAGGTGCTTGCAGGAAAAGCTCGTAGGAAGAAGCTACTATCACCAAAGGGCATGGATGTCCGACCGATGATGGAGGTGGTGAAGGCTGCGGCATTTTCCATTTTGCAGGTGATTGTCTTATCTCATGTTTGACATCAGTTCCTCTTTTGTACAACGAGTTCTCTTTTCAAGTTCTTATAGGTTGATAAAGAATGATTATCTGCCGAATAATATAATAACTATTGTCGATCATTATTCAGGCTGCTGGAGGCACTCCAGCATCTTTACAACCTGGACGATGGCTAGACCTCTATAGCGGTACAGGATCCGTTGGCATTGAAGCTATCAGTCGAGGGTGCTCAGAGGTTAGCACTTGACAGTTTACTGTAACTTTGTATACAGTTTCCTTTGGTTTTATCTAGTGAGAGATTGTTTTGTCATAATAGTTTGGCTATACCACTGGTACGTTGTAGCACTTGTTTTAGCTGGTAATAAAGAATTTTCATTCGAGCTTTCTCAGATATCATTTTCTTCAATACCTTCTGTTATTAGCTAGTGATCAATTTTTTGTCTCCTTATGATATATTCCAGGCACATTTTGTTGAGATGGATCCCTGGGTTGTCTCAGATATCTTACAGCCAAACTTAGAGTGTACTGGTTTTCTAGACGTTTCCACCATACATACTGTCCGAGTTGAGGATTTCTTGAAAAGGGCAGATCAGTTTTTAGGTATTCATCCTTGATGGAGGTGCCATTTTCCTGGATCTCTTTATTAATATTTGTTAACATGGAAATCTTAAGCTTCTCCATTCTTTGGCAGGTATAAAGGGTCCGTTTGATTATATAAGTGTGACACCACCATACATGCTAGTAGATTACGGTGTTCTGATGGACCAAATTTCTAGTTCATCTGTCATTGGAGAGAACAGTTTCATAGTAAGCAGTTTGAATGACCACCTGTTCATTTATCACTTCATATGTTCCTTTGTTCTTTTGATTGAAATATGTTATATGTTGTAGGTGGTGGAATACCCTTTGAAAACCGACATGCTTGATTCGTGTGGCTGCCTTGTAAAGGTATTTGGCTAAATTTCAGATATTTTATCTTCAATTTATGGCAATCATCTCAACTTCTTAAATGCTATCCAATGGATACTAAGGTTATCTTTTCTATGCGCCCTGGCTAAACATGTGGACATTCAGTAAAGCGTCTGTGCTGAATTTATAATTCAGAGCTTCCCTGCTATCCAATTTTGAATGAATGTTTTCAGAAGAATGTTGTGTTTCTGTTAGAAGGCAATTCTGCCACAAGAACTGTTTCTATATTTTAGCTAGGTAGCTGATCTTTCGTTGCCGAATTGCAGATAGCTGATAGGCGGTTTGGTCGGACACATCTAGCTATATACGGACCACATTGGGCTCAAAAGAAAAAATAGTTTGACAGCTGAAGTATGGGTGTGTTGCAAAGTGAAAGTGGTCAGTGCACAGAGGATAACATTTCTGCTGAAGACCACTTTATCTCCTGATGTGGATTTGGAACCAAATTGGAAGATGATTTTGGTCCATTCTGGGTAATGAACTAAATCTTAATGCCATTTTTGTGTCCCTTTGAAGTCTACCCTTCGAAATGCTCCTGTCACTCATTATTTTTTGTTATTCATTGTTGCAGCAGATTGATATCCTGACTATTGGATGACTGGAAGTAACTCAAATCTGTCTTCGCCCTCCACAATTGAGTGGGTGCAAGGTATATTATCAGTTTGTTGTGTATAGGAAACTTTTCACTAGAGGGATTGCTGTAACTCTATGTATTTTCTTTTGTAGTAGTAGCTTGGACAACCATGTACCATCATACATTGTACAACTTCTAGTAGTTTTCTACTGAAGTCTGGAACTAGGATGAATAATTGGCAGTTTTCTGCTAATTTAACACATCTTCAGTTAGAGTCTTTTATGTTTGTGACCATGTTATGTATCTTACAGGACCGAGTGTAATAGATGAAATCCTTGTCTTGTGTATGTTGTTTGCAAACTGAAGATTAGAAATTAAGACTAAGAAATAATGGAGGCTCAAGGCTTTGATTGATTTTATGCTGATTCTTTGTTGAGAGTTGAGGGACAAATCTATTTGAAATGCACACATGATTTGGTATGCGCCACTTCAGCCTACCCATAAAAGCTTTGCATTTGAACAGTGGTTTTGTCCCAGAATGGACATTGGATTTGGACCACCCTGTTGGATACCTTGAGTTACAGTGGAGAAACTATCCTCTTTATCCTGTCCTTGGAATATACAAGTAAAGTTGACGTCTCTGTGAAGAAACCTTGAAAGCGCAAGCAGGGATCTAAATCTCAGATATTCAATATGTTTATGAGCAACTTAACAACTATTTTACTGTATTTGTTTAAATATTGCATTTGTTACTTAACAACTTCAATTAGTGCAAAGCGTGAAATTGAGCCTTTCAGTAGATCATACCAGATGGTGGCTATGATACCATGAATTATCCTCAATTTAGTACCATTAATTGGTTTTAGATCCGATAAGCTTTATTAATTTTTTTTTTCTCAGGAATTGCTGAAATATGGCATAATGGCACAACACTCTATACATCTTTTCCATTTTTTTTTTACCCTTCCTTTTCCATTTTTGTTCAAAATTGATAGGACTATAAATAGGGAGAGGGTAGTGAGGTCCCAGATTATGGCTGCATGAAAATGAGCACATCAAAGTAAATAATTCCAGGGTGGACCAACCAATTTAAAGCAACTTGGAACATAGCAAAAACTCTCACATTTTGAAATCACCTTCCCTTTTTCAGTTAGTTATTCTCAATATAAGAGACCATTGCACATTCTGAAGTCTGGAGATTTGTATCCCAAGTTATTATCATCCACCTTGAAAAAGCTGAGTCTTACAGAATTTATTGCTGATAGTCATCCTTAACCTGTCTGTCCATCACTCTTCTTCTTGTTCTTATAGAGAAACATTTAGCCTTGCATTTCCCATTGTAGCAACGCGAAATTCTGACATTTTAACTTATTACAGATAGCAGAAAGCTTCCCATCATTTTTACCTTGAGAGATGGGAGTAACTTCTTATGGAACAACATGAGTTCTTCTTGAACTAAAGTTCCCAAAGAGTTGCTATGCTGTTCCATGTTAGCTTGAGGTTCTGACGACATGATCGGTTTTGCTTCTAGTTCAACTCTGTTATCCAGTATCTAGAACTCTCCAGCAGCAAACAGGTTAGACAGATATAACTTGGGACGAAGAGAGATGGATTCGGGAGGTTGCAAGGGGAGATCAATTTGTGCTGTTCTGATTGCTGGTCTTGTAGTGTGGTTCTTGTTAATCTGCATCTTAGCAAATCAGGCCTCCGAAAAGACAACATCATCAAGAAAAATTTCATCCACCACTAGAAATAACAACATTTTCGCTCTTATAGCAAATCGGAGGAGGCATTATCTTCCTGGAGGTCATCCCAACTTCCATGCAGTTAGTAAGAGAAGAGTGCCTAATGGACCTGATCCTATACATAATAGGTACCATCAATCTCTGCACATTCCCTCTTTATTTCATATCTACATTGGCCCTTTAATGTGCTTTGCAAAAATGGAACATGTTCACATTCAATGACTAACTGCATGGTTAACTACTGATGACAGCATCGTGCAACAAATTTAAGTTTCAATTGTTGCATACTCGTACTACATGCAAATTGGATGTTGATGGCCCTTTTCTATTTCCTCCTTTTTCTTTCTGTTTCTTCAGGGGAGAAGGGAATTATTGAGTACCGATATTTCGAGCAACGAGTTAAAAAGCTAAAGATATTCAAGAGTACTTGTCCGCTTTAGCCAATTGAGGAAATTGCTTTGGTATGATAGTGTTCTTCTCTGTTTCTGCCTTTGTCACTATATACATATATGTTACTTTTAGAATTGGATTTCAGTAGGTATCATCTGTCAGATAATCCCTGGCCCTCCACGGTTAATTTGCTACTCAGATTACGAACAAAAAAGAAAATGTCGAATGAAGCATATATATGATTTGATGAAGAAATTTGACTGAGTCTTGGGAGATTGTGCTTGTGTAGAGTGAGGCATGTATTATGGATTAAAGGGGCAATTGTCTTTTGCTTTTCTAATAGGATTTGGCTTTCTTTCTTGAGTGGCTTCTGTTCCCTAGATAAAGCATTTGCACCTTGCACGGGCTAAAGGGCTCAAAAAGTGCTCTTTTTTTTTGCTCAATACATGCTTAATTATGCAAATATATGGGTTACTCGGTCTTCGTCGATAAAGTTTTAGGTGAAAGAACTAAACAGTTAGTTAAAGTAATGAGCTCCTCCTTCATTTCTTAGCATGGAAGCAGTTTCCTTTTATGTTTTCTACTTACTATAACAAAGGTAAGAAATGAACTCTCAACCGACTTCAGGTATAATGAGGACGTTTATTAAGCCCCAACTGTCTCGGCAACTGTTTGTAGAGGTTAGAATTGATGTCTTAATCGACCTCATGTATCAGGAGGATATCTATTGAGCCCTTGGCTGGTTTGGCAACTGTTTGTTTGTTCTTGAGACAGCTATTAAAAATGTTAGACATGAATCTCTAAGTTGATATTCTTCTAGAAGGCTAAAACACAACAGACACGCTTATAATCCGACATCTCATGGAAGTAGTTAAAGATTACCTAAAATTAAGCAGTCGACAAGATGATATTATTACAATTAGCTTTTCACTACTGGTACATATCTCAACAGTGAAAACAAAGCAAGCCCTGTCTTCATCTTTTTCTTCTTCCTTTTGCTTTCTTTTCTTCTTTTACGGTTTTGATTTTGATTGTTTCAAGAAGTATTAGACTGGTCTAAAGTGATTGAGATTCAAAAGGGAACCCCTTTTTGTTGCATCATGTATATTGCACATTCAGGATCCTATCTCCTTTAGTGTAGTTTACTTCAGTCTATTCCGGAATCAAAGAGAAGAATCACATCAAGCTTTATTATAATCGAGCATGGTAAGGCTAGACATTTTTGGACTGTCACTTTACCTAAAAAATTTTACTCCTAAATTTTGGATTGATTTCCTCATTCTGCTAAATTCTAATAATTCTTCGTACTGCACAACACCATGGCACAAAGGAGAAGAAAAGGCAAAAGCCAAAAATATGATAAAAGTTCTACTGGAGATTAAAAATGAAATATCCACTTACAAATATGCACGTAAACGACTGTGTGCTTTCCTTTGCAGTTCACCAACAAATGTAGTCTCGGGATCCTGCAATTTTCCACCTGAAAATGAGTTTGGAATTCCATGTCCATGGTGTTCCTATTATAGGCTAAGTAACAGTAGAACAAATATCTCGTTCATAAGATACTACGATGTCTCGTTACAGGCTTACAGCATTCTGTAAATGAGAATCCTGTGAAGGTGACCAAAATGTTTTTCTCAATACTTTAAGGAGAAGTGCTGATACACTTAAAGTTAGTATTCCCTAAGCCGGTTCCTGGTGGACACTTCACGCATATTGGATACTCGGGAGTGTTAGGTAAAGAAAGTTAGCTCTAATCGTTTCGCTGTTGTACACGGAACGAGCGAGAATTCAAGGAGGAGGAAATTGATCTCATAACAGCGTCACCAAACAATGTCATTCAAAGGCTATCATTACCTCAGCCTGGAAAACAAACCACAATACCCCAAGCTAACTAGGAATAAAAGATATGGGTGTTGAGCATATCAAATGCACGAAAGCATGAAAGAAGTTCTCACAAAAGAAGGAAATCAATCATCCGAAGCATGACGTACAAACTGCAACAAGATCAGAAAAGATAACTGCCAAATGCTTGTAGCTTGTGCATATAGCCAAAACAGATACAACACAGTTCATAATTGTAAAATTTGTAATAAAGATCCATAAAACAGTTAAATGGTAGGAATTAACAGAAAAAATTGGACCAGAAATCAAATTCGGTTGTGAGAGAGCTAAGCTAAGAATCTACAATACTCAATGGCTAAAGGTAGATGAGCATATCACAATCAAATGTAACTTTCCCGTACAACAAATTTTGAAAAAAGAGAATATTGGGAAGAGTAGAAGCAGTTTATCCTATTATACAGCGATATTTGACAATGTTCAACATATGGAGAAAGCCAATAAGAAATTGATGCCACTCAAATTGCGTCTAAAGCACAAGGAACATACCCTAGAACACAAAATTAGCTTTTGCATCAAGTGTGCTAGTTTTGCCATGCTCCTCAGACTTCTTTGCGACAAATGAAACTAATCTGCATCATTTTTACCAAAAAGTAAGGGAAATTCATCATATTGTTCAGAGTGTCCTTGTCTCTCAGCCATACTCTTCAACGATTCATAGACTTGATACATCGACCATCGGTCCTTTGGCCGAGAAATCACACAACTACACGCAATTCTTAAAAACTGCACAATTTCTTCATCATGGCCCTTCCCAAGTAAGCTTTTATCAATAGCATCTTTGATCCGGCCTGAACCAGTAAGCAGAGTAACCCAGTCCACTAAGTTACCCTTAAACCCTTCCTCGGCACCACCAACTTCAAGAGGTTTTTGACCAGTTGCTAGCTCCATAAGTACCACTCCAAAGCTATAAGCATCCCCTTTCAAAGATGCAACCAATGTGCTGGAGTACTCCGGGGCCACATATCCGAATTCACCTAAATCTCCATTCACATAACTACTTTCATTTGAATCTGATGAAGTCATGAGCCTAGCCAAACCGAAATCCATTATCCTAGGATCATAATCTTCATCAAGGAGAATGACATTAGAGCTAATATTTTGATGCACTATTGGTGGGTGACACCCATGGTGAAGCCAAGCAATTCCCCGAGCAGCTCCCAAACCAATCCTAAACCTAGTTGGCCAATCCAGAGCAGTCGGATTTCCACTCAATAATGCAAACAAAGTCCCATTAGAAAGGTGCTTGTAGACCAAAAGCTTCTCATCTTCCACAGTGCAAAACCCCAAGAGTGGTACCAAGTTCGGGTGCCGAAGTTGACCTAACCTGTTCATCTCCATCCGAAACTGTTTATCACCCATCTTACAGGTACTGAGCCTCTTGATCGCGAGTGCAGAGCCATCCCTCAAAACTGCCTTATATGTTGTGCCCGTCCTAGTCGAATTGACAACGTTTTCAGCACTAAAGTTATTGGTCGCCGCCAATAAATCGGCCAACTTAACTTTCACGAGTGGTTTCTGGAACAACATGACTTGAGTAAGCTTGTGAGCTCTCAACCTCTCAGCCCAACTATCAGAATCCTGCCTTCCAATACCATAACCTCTCCTACTTCTCCCGGACTTGTTAAAATACCACCACCACGCCCCAAAGCCCAACAACATAGACGCAGCAGCTCCAAAAACACCGGCAGCAATGATTATAGTCATATTTTTCTTACTCAAGCCACCGCATTTCCTTAACGGACCGCCACATAGCCCGTGATTGCCGTCGAAATTAAGCTCCACACCAACAGCAGTAAACGTCGGAACCCTACCGGTCAAGCCATTGTTGGCGACAGAAAACTTCTTCAGCCTATTCAAACTAGAAAACTGATACGGAATACTACCCGACAGCTTGTTGTCATCAAGCACAATAGTGTTCAAATAGGAGCATTTCACAATATCCTCCGGGATCGTACCGGTCAAATCATTGTTAGACAAATCTAAAGACGTCAAATAAGGCAACCAATCACAAATTTGAGGTGGGATGGGACCAGTTAAGCTATTACCGGAGAGATCAAGTGTTTGGATGCTGTGACAAGACTGCAGGGCATCAGGGACAACTCCGGCGAGGTTCATATCCCGGAGCTCGAGATTGATAATCCGATTCTCCTGCGGGTTCCAGCAAGTGACGCCCACGAAATTGCAGATGTAACCCACCGTGGAGTTGTCGAAGCTCCATAAGCTGAGCTTCCCATCTGGGTCTTTCAACGAGCTCTTCACACCTTGCAAACACTTGACATCATCTTCTGCAACAACCACCAAAATCCCAGCTAAAAAACTGCTCCAAACACCAAATATCAACAAACAGAGCAATCCAGATGAGCTAAGTTTATTAGGAGAAAACTCAGCCATTGCGGCTCAAAGATCAAGCAGCACGATTGTGGGGGAGTAGGGTTGCAAATCTTCAAAAGGGAAAGTGTAAACTGGGAAGAAAGGAAGGAGGAGAGTGGTCAGAGGTTAGGCATTGACCTGAAAATTCGTAAAAATAAAACCAAAAATGAAAAAAGAAAGAAAAAGTATACTAATTGTAATGGAAGATACAGTAAATATGGTGGTGGGGACGGGGAACTGATATCCAGAGAGGATTTTGTTGTTTTTTTTTTTCCTTATAAGTACCTCAGTCGATTATTCAATATTCAATAGTCTGATTATTCTCATCTCGCATGAACATATTGCAAAATATTTATTAGGTCAGAAATATTGTACTTCTAAATCGCGGGCGTAAGGTTTACGATGAAATCAAACAAACGTTGAAAACCGGTTTAAAGTTGGTCCGCGCCAATGAAATCAAATAATTGTATTGAGAAATTCGGATCTAGAAAGGATGTTTATTTAGTTAGTGTGAATTTATGAATAGTGATTGAGCTCCAAAATGATGTAATTACTCGATTAATTAAAGTAGGTTTGACTGGGGAAAAAAAAAATTAGTGGATTTGAATAGTTGAATTGAATGGATGGAGATGGAGATGTTTGACTGGAAAAAGACTTTGAAGGTTTTTCTGGTCCCACTGTAAATATGCCAGTTGGAAAAGCAAAGATTAAAAATGGGAAACTTGGAATGTAATGAATCTACTTAGTTATTGGTTCAGACAAACTTACATGTACTACTTGCACTAATGTAACTATCGTTCGTTTATTTATTTGTTTTATTCAAGAAATGGAGAGAGTAATTAATTAAAAAAAAGTTGAAGATCCTTTTTTTATGAATTAGGTTTTGGGGAATAAATTAATTTCCAGGCAAAAAGTTGATGTGATTTTAACGGTATTCGCTTGTTTATTGTGAGGAATGCAAATATTCCGCAACATTTTTTTTTTTTTGGGGGGGGCTTTATTGAGGGCCTACTTAGTTAAGATGAAACTGATGGACTTGATTTTTTGTGTATGTTAACCTTGTGGTGTCTTTATCTCAAAAGAAGACTTGTGTCATGAACTCGCAGGACTTAATCGTCTCAATTCTATAGTATAGGAGTCTAGTTGTGATTTTTAGTAATTTGCTTGACTATAAGGCTTCGTAAAACATTTTATGGAATATTTTGGTTAATGAAATAATTCGAATTTGTTTAAAGTATTGACTGATAAGATAAATAATAGTGACTCCTCTCTCGAACTAGGGGCGATTACACCTTCTACTGCATGTGTGGCCGTCCGACGATTTTTCTGATGCTCAGACGTCATCTATTACTAAGAAATCGAAGAAGAAGAGTGGAGCTGAGGAAAGTGAAGCTGGAGAACAACATGAAATAGAGAAACGTGGAGAACAATCCTCAATTTCATTGAAATCGAATCAGGTCAGTAGCCCTAATTTTGCAATAAATGTGTTGAATCGCAATTAATGCATACAAAAATTGAAAATCAGAGAGTTGTGGTTGTGGGTGAGTGTTCGAAAGTGAATGAATCAAAGATACAAGGACTAGAAACAGGGAAAACTGTTAAAGAATTGAATGTATGAGATTCTTTTGATCCGAAGAAACTTCAGAGTCCAGAGAAAAAATTACAGTTTATAGAACCACGCATGGTGAATGAAAGAGAGATAGGAAAAATTACGGAAGAAGTTCAAAGTGAGATTGAATACTGGCAAAGCTCTGTGATCTGTTATGTTATTGGATGTAATCCTCCATTTTCAATAATGAATGGCTTTATCCGAAGAACATGGGGAAGATTGGGTGTGGATAATCTTCTATTGCTAGAGAATGGAGTGTTTATTGTCAGGTTCAAGACATTAATGGCTAAAGAGGAAATTCTAAAATAGAATGTGTATCACTTTGATGGGAAGCCTCTAAATGTAAGAGATTTGTCTGTCAAAGAGGAAATCAAGATGAATTAGATAAGGAAAGTACTAGTCTGGATTTAATTCCATAGATTGCCTTTGAGATACTGGAATCCTACGACTCTAAGTAAGCTTGCAAGTATGGCTGGTACTCCAGTTGAAATGGATGACATGACTTCGCAGAAATTGAGAGTGGCTTATGCAAGAGTCTTAGTGGAAGTTGAAATAAAGGATAAACTGAAAGAGTCAGTGTGGTATGAGAATGAGAAAGGTGAATTATAGGAGCAAAAAATCCATTATGAGTGGAAACCTGTTAAATGTTCCAATTGTAAAGGATTCGGACATCAAGCTGAAATTTGCAGACAACCTGTGGTAAAAGCATGGAAGAATAGAGAAGTACCTAAAGTGGTTCAGAAGGAAAAAGATGTAGCTGAACAACAGCAAGTGAATGTGGTTCATAAAGACAAGGTGGAATAGGAAAATGTGACTGCTAAAACACTAGTTAAAGATCACTCTACCAGGATCTTGAGGAGAACAGAAAGTAAAGATGATGAAGCAGGAATACTAATAAGGAATCAGAAGGGTTTAAGGATCACTGAGGAAAGACCATGTGATAAAAAGAAATCTGTGAATGAGATTTGTTATCATGATACTAGTCACCCTTCTAAAGGGTCTAGTAGACATGAATAACCTTTTAGCGTGGAGCTGTGGAATATAAGGGGATTTAACAGTCTCCTGAAGCATAAGGAGATTGATACATTTCTCTCAATGATAAGGTTGGAATAACAGGGCTTCTGGAAACAAAACTAAATAAAGAGAAGGAGGATGAGGTTATGGTAGAAAATGGTATCAATTTGACTACATCTGCAACTAGGAATCAGGAGAAAAAGGAAGAATTTTAATGATATGGAGAAAAGGAGAATATCAAGTGAATGCTATAAAGGTAAAGCCTCAGTTTATACATTGCCATGTGAAAGAGTATGCAAGGAATAGTCAGTTTTATCTGACAGTGGTGTATGCAGAATATAATGCTACAAGGAGGGAAAATTTATGGAAAGAGTTATAGGAATTATCAAGTTCAGCTAAAGGAAAATGGATTATGCTGGGAGACTTTAACTGTATAAGGAAGACAGAAGAAAGGCTTGGAGGTATCAATGAACTTAGTCTTGATACAGACAAGTTCAATCAAATGATAGAAGGAAATGAGTTATGGGAAATGCAGATGAATGGAGGGAGATACACATGGTGTAACAAACAGCTTAGCAATAAGAGAATCATGTTAAAAATTGATAAAGTGTTGGTGAATGATGAATGGATGCAAGAATTCTCAGAAGCTTTTGTGAATATTATGCCACCAGGAATTTCAGATCACAATGTCTTATTGGTCAGATGGGAAGGAATTGTGCCAGTAAGGAAAAGAGCTTTCGAATTTTATAATATGTGGATGCAACACCTTGAGTTTAAACAGATTGTCCAAGAGCATTGGAATATGGAAGTGAAGGGTAGCAAGCAGTACAGATTTGTGATGAGGTAGAAAATGATGAAATATTGGCTAAGCAAGCTAAATAGAGAAGAGTATACTAATATAGAAGATCAAGCACAAGAATACATATTGAAGTTGGAGCAAATCCAGGGAGCCTTGAAGGAGGATCCATTGAATGAGGCATTACAAGTAGAGGAGAAGCAAATGATCAAAGGTTATGTTGATAAAAGCAAAATAGTACTCAGTTTCTGAATATAGAAATTGAAAGATAAGTGGATATGTGAAGGAGATCAAAATACAAGGTACTTCCATGCTGCAATTAAGCAAAAAAGTGTAAGGAATAGGATAAGATCTTATACCGGAAGTGATGGGGTAATAGAAGAAGACTGACAAAAGGTGGAAGATCATTTCCTAACTTACTATCAGAATCTACTTGGAGTATCAGTGGAAAGAACACTTGCTAGGAATGAACTCTATCAGTCAGGGATCAAACTGACTGTAGAGCAGCAAGTTTTTATGACTGCAGAATTCACTAAGGCTGATGTAGAGGAAGCTCTTTTCAGTATAGATATAAACAAAAGTGCTGGACCAGATGGGTTTAGCAGTGGATTTTACAGGAGTACATGGAATATCATTGGAGATGACTTATGTGAAGCAGTACTGGAAATTTTTCAGAACTGGTGAAATGTTGAAACAGGTAAATGCAACTCTTATTTCACTGATCCCAAAGAATGAATGCCCTCAAGATGCAACTGAGTACAGGCCTATATCATGCTGCAATACCATTTACAAATGTATCTCTAAGATGATCTGTAAAAGACTGAGCTTGATTCTTCCTGACTTGGTTGATCTTAACCAAGGAGCATTTGTGCAAAATAGATCAATATTGCATAATATTTTGTTAGCTCAGGAGCTTATAAGACTGTATAATATACAGAATGTTGAACCAAGTTGCATGCTTAAAGTTGATCTGAGGAAGGCCTATGATTCCATCCATTGGGAATTCATAGAGGAGATGTTGAAGAGTTATGGATTTCCTGATAAATGGATACAATGGATCATGACTTGTATCACAACATGTTCTTATTCTCTAAACCTGAATGGGAACAATGTTGGATTTTTTCAAGGGAAAAGGGGACTTAGACAGGGTGATCCAATATCACCACTTATTTTTGTGCTGGTTATGGAATATTTGACAAAGCTATTCAAGAAAGCAGCTGAGAGAGAAGATTATGTGTTTCATCCTCATTGTGAAAAACTAAGGATTACATCACTCAGCTTTGCAGATGATCTGCTTGTATTCTGTGGAGCTGAAAGAAAACTTAGAAGATAGTGAAAGAGATCTTGGACCACTTTGCAGAAAGCTCTGGACTGAGGGTGAACTTGAATAAGTCTAATGTATATTTTGGTAGTATAGGGAGTGATCAACAGGAGCAGTTGCAGACAATTATTGGCTTTGAAAGAGGAGCATTCTCCATGAAATATCTTGGCTTACCTCTTTTACCCACAACATGGAACAAATGAGACTGTCAAATTCTGATATAAAAGCTAACATGAAGACTGAAGTACTGGGCATCAAGACATCTATCCTATGCTGGTAGAGTGGTACTTATCAATCATGTGTTAATGACCTTGCATACATACTGGGCAAGTATCTTCTTATTGCCTTAGTCTGTCATTCAACAGAACACTGCAGCATGTAGACAGTTTTTTTGGGGAGTGAAAGATAATGGGAAGTGTTGGCCTCTTGTATATTGGGATCTTGGATGCAGAAAAAAGATGGAAGGAGGATTAAATATTAAAGATCCAGGAAGTTGAAACCAAGCAATGATAGGGAAGTAGTTATGGGACTTGGAAAGGAAGAAGGAAAGCTTGTGGATCAAGTGGCTGCATACATATTATCTCAAAGGGAAGAGTATTTGGGAGTATAAATGCCCAAAAGATAGCAGTTGGCATTGGAAAATGTTTGCTTAAACTCAAATATTAACTCAAACCAGGACCACAGAATGGAAAGTGGCATGGAAGTAGTAAACCATATACAACTGCAACAGGATATGCATGGATTAGAGGACAGAAGGAGAAAGAAAAACCAGCAAAGATAGTGTGGAGTAAGTTCTCATTGCCAAAACACAGTTTTGTTAGCTGGTTAGCCTGAAAAAGAAGATTGCTAACAGTTGATAGACTTAAAAAGCTGAATGTAGTTGTTGTGGATACATTCTTCATTCTGTGTGGACAATATGACGAAACTGCCAGCCATTTGTTCTTCAGGTGTCAATATGCAGCAGCACTGATCATGGAGATAAAGCAGTGGCCGGGCCTGGGAGATGTGATTCAAGGCTTGAATGCTTACAGGTTGGAAAGAATTTGGAAGAATAAATCAATGAAAAGAAGCGTAGTATTTGCCTGCATTAATGCAACATCGTATAATGTATGGTGTGAAAGGAATTCCAGGAAGTTTGGAGGCAAGGAAGAACAAGTGAATGACAGGTTTGAAAAGCTGAAAAATGAGATCATTGTAGACTGCAACACGACTTTAGAATTGGTAGTGGAGATGACATTAGATTTGTAGAGGGTTTGGGAGTTCGGATTGACAGAACTTGATGTAAATTTGTACATGTTTGAGTTGATACATCCGTGAAAGATTTACTTTTTACCAAAAAAAAATGAAATAATTCAAATTTTTTCCCTTTCTTGTGACGTTTTTTATTCTTCTTGTCTCTTAGAACCCCAAATCCTTTCCCAAAACTCTCTGAATCTCCGATTTCCTTCTCCGATCATGTCGCATGATACTCCTGTCATGACAAATTAGCCTCAAAACTTGTGATTCTTGGAAAGTTGTTCGATCTCTTTTCATTTCTGGAATACTGACATTGACTTATTGACTAGAATCTCGTATCAGAGCCAAACACAGAAACCTCCTTCGCCACTGGAGCATTCTTCTTATTGTAAATCCGTGGCGTTCTTAGCTCTTTCAACAATTGATGGAAATGGTCGTCGGAAGAATTTGTAAGGAAAATATAAAAAGAATGAATCATAACTGTACGTAGTTAAAACTTATCTCTTACAAGTTTATCTATTAATGGTTAAAGGATAGTTAAGATTTAACCACATCATTCCTAGTTAAAATACTCTGTAATTTTTCTTGCACGTATTATCACTCTTGATATATATATATATATATATATATATATATAGATATAGATATATTCTTACAAGTTTAAATACTCTCTTACAAGTTTACATTTTTCATCTTCCATTCTACATCGACAATGTATCGTAAAATAACTATAAATTCTTATTGTTGGAACACCAAAAAATTATTAATTTAAATGTCACTAAAATTTTGACTTCGGATATGAAAATGATGATGATACAATGCTTTCAAAACCAATCCCCTCAAAAAGAAGCACTTAAGGCAGTAATAATTCTTGAAATATTTGGTTGAAATATGAGAAATCTACATTAGAGTTTTGAAAGCAATGGAAATATTAAAAAATGAAATCTCTTTTATATGCAAATTGCAAGGAAAAACATACTTTACTAGACTCTTTTTATACATATATTTCAAGTCATTTAATGTTAACATGACCTATATTTATATAGGTGTTTCCTGGAAAATTATTAATTTATTCTTTTATCGATTTTTTTTGTTTTTTTTGTACTTATCCCAACTTACTACCGGAGATAATTATTAATTTATGCATGCTATTAATTTATCGATTTTTAATTAATAATTGTTCTATTGTAACAAGATAACAAGATGAAAAAGAACTGAAGGGCTCAGATTCTATTTCGATTATTTATTTATTTATTTTATTTTCGGTACTAGTACTTTGATTATTTATAGATTGGGAGGAATGAATATTTATTTTAGAATTATACTCCCTCCGATCCTTAATATAAGGCATTTTGATTTGTCATAAGTTTCATATAGTATGCATTTTTAATTGAAAAATCTTTAAAAATATAGTTTCACATTCTTTATGTTCTCGTAATTGTTAGGAAATATTTTTAAAATTTTTTTGTAGAACAACTTGCCAACAAGAAACTTCCATTAATTAAGATAATGAAGCGAGACACATATAAATTCAGCAAGGAACAGAAATACCAAAACTAGCGAACCAAGATCAGTGAAAAATCGGCAAGTCATATTTATCTTTTTGGCCAACCAAACATTTATGGTAAGGACACTTCCCTCCTCACACAAACAACAACATTCTTTAATCTGAAGTCTAAACAACTATGTCTCTATATATGTTCACTGAAAGCTGTGCTTTGGCTATTTCTATACACAGCATCAGCAGAACCTAATTCAACATTCTTCCAGTTCAGATGCCATCCCATTATAGATCCAGCTACTAATACATTTTCTAATAGCTGATTACCTGAAGTACTCTGCTGGGGGATTATCCCGTAAGTCAAGATCTGGTAGTGAAGCCGAATCAAGGCTTATGGATTTAATTGGTACTGGTAATGTCAGCTGCTGATCCTGAACTACACCAAGATAGCACTAGATCTCCTTTGGGAGAACCACATCAAATACATTGTAACAGAGAGCATGATGAAACACTTTGCATTGAACACATAAGACTCTCCTCTCACCATTATACCTGTTTGCACCACACTTGCAGAGGGTTTTATCTTTTTTTCCCCTGAAATATGAACTTGTAATCTGGATTCTCGATAAACCCTCTCACCGTCAAGGTTTTGCCTGACTGTAGTTTTCCTGAAATTATATCATAATCAGCTATTCCATCAATTTCGTCAATTTGTAACGGCTCTAAACTCTCACATATAACATAAGTCTCACGAACTCCAGCCAGCACAGCAGCCTTTAACTGCCCAACAGTAAGGTTCTTCTCTGGAACCACAATGTACACCACGTTCTTCTGGCCAATAGTAGCTTGCAACTCTTTCAAGCCTGCTTGAACTTCAAAAACAAGACCCAGTTTACCATTTCCACAGCGGTATGGCCACTGCTTCACCCAAAACTTGGCGTTCGTAATAATTCCCGCATGGGACTGGAACTGATCATGTCTCAAAAGCAAGTTATAAAGTCGCCTGAGGTTTCCATAACAAACGTCTTTCTTTCCGGTGGTGAATGGTTGGCCTCATACAATAAGAATTGAAAAAGATCCTTCAAAGTTTTCCATGAGTGGTTTGGAAAGTTAACCTTGCAAGACTGAATAATTCCTTGAAACCTCGGATCAGAAGTTCCTTCCATTGCCAGGCCGGACAGCTTTTCAATTGCATCCAGGTAATCAATTTCACTCACACCATGGCTTCCAAAATCAATTTGTAATCCCATAGCCTGAAATATGGCGATCCACATACTACCCCTTTGATCAGTCTTATAGCCATTCCACGTTTCATGGATATATCTAGGAGACTCACTTGACCGCAGAAAATAACATTTCAACCACACAACTTAATAACCAATCTTACAAACCAAACAACTTTTCAATAATAATAAAAAAGAATTACATCATGCTTCTTATTACGGAAATCCTACAATAAAATGTCAAACAACTATGAAGGATATTAGAAGCTCACCTAGGGCCGAGATAATTGCAAATTTTATCCCAAAGGTTGATGAGGTCTTTCTGTGTAACTGTAATGAGTCCCTGATCGCCTTGAACCCAAATCAAATGCCAAAGCCATTTGAGTGGAAACATCCATGCAGTAGTAAATCGGTGGTCCTCTGTTAGTAAATAAACTTGATTGGTCCAATTAATATTAGGCTATCCAAGGTTTTTAAGTTGGATCAAAAGTATCAATTAGTTATAAGTTCTAGCCCATTAAAAAGAGAAGTATAGAAAAGATGATATTGAAAAGTAGTATGAAGATTCTGGAAAACTTCTAGAATGTGTAGAAAATTACATGAAAATATCTTGAGGAAAAATCTAGTGATTATAAAGAAAGTATCTAGATATTTCAGTGTTGTAGAAACATTTCGAAACCTTTTAGAAGGTTCCATTTACAACTATAAATAGGAGTTCGCCCCTTTAATGTAGAGTGTGGAGAAGAGAGTGTAGAGAGGTTGTGGAAATGAGAAGCCAAAGGCTTTGTAAACCCAAAGGGTTTTTATTACTACAAAGTAATAATGTTTCCTCTCTCAAGTTATTGTATTCTCTTCCTTTTCCATATAAGTAAGTGAGGTACCCATAGGGTCCTTTCTTTATAGCCCAAAGGTTTTTTTTTTTTTTGCTATAAAAGTGGTATCAGAGCTGGTACGATCCAGCTCATATGGACATTGAGAAGGTAAAAGGAGAACAAAGGAGTCAAAGACAACATGGTTGTTGATCAAATCATGAGTATTTTGGTAACTCATGAAAAGAATATAGAGAAGAGGATGTCCAAAAAAAAAATTGGAGCTATTCTTCTACTCAAAACTCTCTTTCAAAGAAAGAGATGAAGACAATGGACGTGGCAGAGGCCTAGGACGAGGAAATGGTGGATTTTAAGGACGTTGATGAGGAAGCGCTCGAGGAGACCATCTACAACCCACCAAAGAAGACAACAACCAAGGTTCTCAACCTACAAGAGGTCGTGGAAGAAATATATGACAAAACAGAGAAAATGGAAGCATTAGCACTTTATTGTTTCATCTCTAGACTTTAAAGAGATTGTACGAAAGAAGAAGTGGAGGCTAACAAGCATCGCACAACAGGTGGAGCAATGCTCTCAAAAGAAGATGAAGAAGGCGACTACACATGATCAGGGATGATGCAAGTAGTCACCAATCAAGTTTAAAGGGGGTGTTAGTAAATAAACTTGATTGCTCCAATTAATATAAGACTATACAAGGTTTTTAAGTTGGATCACAAGTATCAATTAGTTATAAGTCCTAGCCCATTAAAAAGAGAAGTCTAGAAAAAATAATATTCAAAAGTAGTAGAAAGATTCTAAATAAATATTAAGAATGTGTAGAAAAATGTATGAAAATATCTTGAGGAAAAATATAGTGATTAGAAGAAAGTATCTAGATATTTAGGTGTTGTAGAAACATCTTGAAATCTTGTAGAATGTTCTATTTACAACTATAAATAGGAGTTAGGCCCTTTAATGTAGAGTGTGGAGAAGAGAGTGCAGAGAGGTTTTGGAAATGAGAAGCCAAAGGCTTCGTAAACTCAAAGGGTTTTTATTACTACAAAGTAGTAATGTTTCCTCTCTCAATTTATTGTATTCTCTTCCTTTTCCACATTAGAGCATCCACAATGGTTTACACTATTGTGAGTATAATGTCATAAATTTTTAATATTGTACTTTTATTCCACTTTTCACTACATTGGTTTACACTCTAAAAATATAATAAAATGAAATAATTTTAGTACCATCATAAATCCACATTAATTACATTTTAACACCAAAAAGTGTATTATACAGTGTAAGAATTCTTACACCATATAATATTATCACACTCAACACAACGATAAACTGTAACAACCAGGAGTTCACTAGCCTGTTTCTGACCAAACTTTTTTCTTCAAAAGCCAACGTGAAAGACAAGTCAGGCTAGCAACACCGGGATGTCCGCCAAGCTCACGCCTAAGGTGCACTAACACTTAATTGCAAATCAGAAGATTAAATAAAATTGAACTTTTATTAAAAGGAGGATAACACCTCAACTTCAACTGATATGTTAACTTATTCTGCACTACCATACCTCTACGTAATATTAGAGAACAAGCTCTTAACAACAACATTATTCAACCTACTTGGTATTCTAAACTCAAACAGAGGTTTAGACTATCTCAAGTCCTACTCAAGTCTCCTAAGAACATTGTTCCTTCGATAGCAGCATCCCTTAATGTGTTCCTGGGAGGGGAAGGGGAAAATATATAGATATATAGGGGGTGAGCGCCGAGCTCAATGAGGTTCTCACTATAGTACTATAATAATTTTAGTAAAACAATTTTAAAGAAAATATTATTCACTTGTAAAATAGTTTCACACAAAAACAATGAAACATATATACAATCAAAACACTTAGCATCATCAAATAACAATAGGGTGGATACAGGGATCACGACAAGGGGTGTCAGGCCTATATGGCACTGTAGACGGTGAAACTAAGTTGAATCATAACTCTGGGATATTTAGCCCAAACATTAACTCTTGTAACTCTTTCCCTTATGTCTCCCTTGGTACCAGCTCTTGATGACTCATGAGCATCATAACTCTGGCCTAGGTAACTAGCTATCCGACCAAGCCTGATACTTGACTCGTTTAGTTTCGCTAACCAAGGCAGGGCCCAACTCTTAACTCTTGCATGGACAAATAATATCCGAGGAGATAAAGTACACCACCGAAATATATTTAACAATAAAATTGCAAAATCTGCTGAGGTGGTAAACACTATCGAAACATTCAACATTCACTTAATCAATCATATAATCAAAGCAACATTCCGTACATAAACAATTCAACTCTACTTCAAATACGATAATAAGTAAAACACATATCTCGTGGCGGTAAAGTACACCATCGATTCATTGAACAATATGCATTTGATATTTCAACAATATTTACAAGAACGTGCTCAAGTGTGTAGTGTCTTTTGAACATATTCTCATACTCTCAGTTTTTAAAATAGTTTTAGAAAGAGTGAGAATACTCACAGGGACGTGATGTTGTTTCAATACAAGTATCACCTCTCTAAGTCAATATCGAAGCGACTCCAAATATCATTCTTACCTTCCTTTCCTTAAGCTCTAAAAACTCTCAAGACTCACTCATTATCTTGTTTAATTCTGAATTTTTTTTTGTGTACTTTGAACAAGTTCCCATCCCCCATATGTATAGTAAACTAACACCAATTTGTATCACCTATATGTTTCACATTCTAGATTGTCTTACTCATCACTTAGGTGTTTCAATACCAGCCAAATGTCCCATGTAGGTTAGCTTAGTCATACTAGATTAGTGAGAATCATTGTTGCTTCACCTACATGCTTCACCAATTTGTTTAAGCATTTAGTATGGTTAGTCGTCAATCAAAATCTCCTAACTTGCCAAATGTTCTATATAGGTTAGCTTAGTCATACTATCATGGATGAGTATCCTTCATGCTTCACCAATTTGTATAAGCATTTAGCATGGTTAGTCATCATCAAAGTCTTCTATCTTGGCAAATGTCCCATGTAGGTTAGTTTAGTCATACTAGAATGGATGAGTATCCTTCATGCTTCACCAATTTGTTTAAGAATTTAGTATGGTTAGTTATCATCAAAGTCTCCTATCCTGCCAAATGTCTCATGTAGGTTAGTTTAGTCATACTAGCATGGATGAGTATCCTTGTTGCTTCACCTACATGCTTCACCTTATTGCTTGAATCTCTCATCATTAGTTTTCTACATCCTTAAATCACGTATGCTAGATAGGATGAATATGTAGCTTATGCATCATGAATTAATAAAAAATTCGGCCATAACTTCCAACATTTACTATTTAGACTACAAATACCGTTCATAGTCATTAATTTGATATTTTTAACACGCCTTTCCATTTCTATCTAAGATTTTATACCGAAAAATTTCAAGTTAAAGTATCTTAAATTTTTGGATTGTTACAAAAACAGTATAATAAAATGGTTATTTAATTTTTATTTACCAGTATTGTTGATGCTCTTAGTAAGTGAGGTACCCATAGGGTCCTTTCTTTATAGCCCAAAGGGTTTTTTTTTTTGCTATCATCCTCATCCTTACAAATTCTTCGACATCTTCTACTACAAAATTTTCCTTCAGATTCTCGAGTGGTATGATAAAGGTATATTTTTTCCTTGAAACCATATTGTGCTCCCACCCTGCAAACCGGAAAGGCTAAAAACTATAGATTAAAAAACGTTATAATCCCAAGGAACAAATCAACAATAGAAAAGAAAAAAAAAAAAACCTTCTTAAAGCTTAAAACAGTTGATACCAGGAAATTGAATAAACTTAAAAAATGTGACCTTTCTTCACAAGTTGTTTATGAAACAAATTTTCCATGAAAACAAAACAAAATTAAAAAAACCCCATTAATTCATCTTCTCAAAATCCTAAAACACAGACTACATAACTTTGATTCATCAAGAACCAAATGCAAATACTTAGTCTAATGCCAACCAAGAAATACGCCAGAGGCATGGCTAATGGAATGACACTAACTGTGAAGGCAATTTAAACAAAGAAATGATCAAAATGGAGATTGCTAGTCGCAGCTCACTTTAAATTCGGAATAAAGTGTTGTATTGGGAGAAGTATCGATTTAGTCCAAAGGTTTGCCCTGGTTATCGATTAACTTCAATATTCTAGTTGTCGATTTCATCCAAAGGTATGAATTTTGTTGTTGATTTAGTCATTTGGACGAAAAACCCCTCAAACTAACTGAAATAAGGCCCAACAGTTTAGAAGTTTTTTAAAAATGCCCCTTATGGTATAAAAATTTATAAAAATTATTTTATTTTTAAATTCTTTTGTCCATTGTTTTCTTCTTTTTTTTTTTGGTA